AAGTGACCAGGCATGGTTAGCCTGGCTGTTTATGTCATGAAATAATTTGTTTACGTGTGTCTTAGCTGCATATTACTCACACTGCAAAATCATATGTGTTTATTACAAGTTAGAATTGATTAGTATTTTGAAGTTGAGTGTAGAATTTTGCAGTCTCATATGTTAGCAAACTTGCCATCCTTATCTAATGCATGCAAGGCTCTGGCATAGCATTATCACTTGCCAAAAATACGTATTTTATCTTGTTTTACGGCAGTAGACATTACACAGCATCTGCAACCAAAAAGCTTTACTCACCCTCTTAGTTCTCTCAGAAATAGAACGTCCCTAAATGCATCCAAAAGTCTTTATTTATTTACTGAGAAAATAATGGGAGTTATGGTCTTAAAAAGCATGAATTGATGTAAAACTAAAACATTCTAAATCTAAAGTGCAGTTTGTTGGTTATTGATGAACTTCTTTTCCATTAGTATCAGAAAGAAATAGATGAGAGTAAATACCCAGGGAATTGAGAGAACGGTGGCATTCATCCATCTTTTTAAAAAGCTTCCTATTGAAGTATAACATACATGCAGAAAAATACACAAATTATACACAAATGAACTAAAGTGGAAGTGTACAATTCAGTGGATTTTCTCAAAATGAACATGCCTATGTAACCAGCATACAGATTAAGAAATGAAACGTTTGTATTACTGTTGATGGATATTTGGCTTTCTGTTTGGGAATTGTTACATTTAGTGCTGCCATGAACATTCTTGTACATGTGTTTTTGGTGAATTTCGCACACATCTCTGCTGGGTATGTACCTAGGAGTGGAATTGCTCGTTCATAGGGTCCTTATATTTAGCTTCCATAGATACTGCCAGTTTCCCAGTGTGTTTGAGCCCCTCCGACTCCACAAGCAGTGTGAGTTGCAGTTGTTTCACATCCAAACCAAGGCTTGATACTTGGCTTTTTCCGGTTAGTCATTCTCATGGACATCTCATTGTGGCTTCAGTTTACATTTCTGATGAGTGTTGAGATGGAGCACCTGTCATTTGTTTGTTGGCCATTGGGATGTCCTCTTTGAAAGTACAGATTCAAGTCTTTTGCACTGGCTTTGTAAACTTTTTTCTTTAACTTTTAAAAATAAATAGTTTCCATATGTTAACATTCTCACTCAGAGAGCCAGCCTTCCCCTCCTTGACTCCACTGCAGTGGGTGACATATGTATAAAACCAAGATGGCTTTGGCCTACAAGATTGCCTTCTACAGAACTTTATAAACAAGGGAAACCTTGCATGGAATGTTCTTTTCAGGCCGTTTAAACTATTGACATTTACTATTGGTAAGAAAGAACAAAATAAAAGGAATAATAAACACAGACATACTTTTTAAAAGTTTAGCCTTTGGAATAGCCTTTTGCCTTTTGGTTTTATGAATTTCTTTTAGGAATTTTGATTGGAAACAGAACCAGCTGTTAATTAGTAATATGTTACTAATTGGAAGAGTTAATTTAGAAAAGAATGTAGCTTAAATTTGACCTATCTGTAAAGCTATTGGGGTTTGTTTTCCTGTTTACAAGTAATGTATGGTTGTGGTCAAAAATTCAAAAGTTGTAGAAATACATATAACAGAAATTGAAAGTCTCCCATAATCTCACCTACAGAGATAATTGGTTTGTTTTCATCCAGATTTTCTTACATGAATTTGCTAACATATATCAGAAATTACATACTCTACATACTGTTTTGTCACTTTTTTTTTAACCTCACAGTAATTGTTGTTACTGAGTTTTTAGGAGTTTTTAAAAGTATTATCTGTGATAGTTGGATATTCATTGACAATAAGAATGTCTTATTCAATACATAAAAAATAAAAGTAATTAGTATATCAATTTTATTAACCTTACTTATAGATCTTTAAAAATGGTTCATTTTCTGGCAGGGTCAGTATGCATCTTTTCATTTACTTAACACAGTGTTGCCTGGTACACAGAAAAATTCCAACTGCGGAAGATCTAAATTAATGGAGTTTATGAGCAGGTTAAAACTGGCTTGAGTTTTTTCAGTAATTCTTTTCATATTTAAGGCATCCTAATCATGAAAATTCAGCTACTAACTTGGTAATTAATTGTGCTCTGTACTCTTCACAGGAACTTCTGGGTTGAGCCTGCCTTTACACTTCAAACTAGGGTGATGGGTTTTGATCATTTCTGGTGGTCCCCTCAGAGCCCCTGCAGATCTGACCAGTCATCCCAGGGTTGTGCTTGTTTTCTAGTTCAGTACTCAGCATGATTGGGAATGGCATCAAATCCTTCCTAAAAGCAAGTGAGTCTCTTGGAAAGATCCAAGTGAATTTTTTTAAAGCAATGAAACTAATTTAAAAGTACATACTGTTAGGCTTTTTAAAGGCATATTTTGCAAATTAATGAAAATAAGTTCCAAGATATTCTGCTTTGTGGAGTAGTATAATATCTAATGTGCGAACAAAATCCTCATTTTCCTCTAATCCAGAGGCAGCTCTTCAGATAAATTATTCTGATGTCCGTAGTCTCTACTGGTGGCACCTTATATTGAAAAGAGAGTAATTGAGCTGCATTTTCTCTATCTCGGTTTAAAAGACTGTATAAAATAATGTTGGTAAACATTAAAGAAGATTTATCCTTTTAATACCTTCATTGTAACTATTGTTCATGAAATCAGTGTGGTCTGGTTTGGGGGCTTTGGTTGCCTTATGTTTCTTATACTAACGTAGTACTTGGTTAGTTGAAGAGAGCCCCCCAGTTCTGTGAAGTATTTCACCCAGATGTGCTTTTCTGTTGCAGTGGGACCAGGTGGAAGCTTCTCTATGGATTATAGGTTTGGCAATCTCAGGAATAGAAAGTAGACATTCTTCTCTGGAGGCTTCTGTGTGACTGAACTGGCATCACGTGATAGCCATCCTGAATAAGAACGGGTGAATGGGAGGCTTCATCCAGGTGTGATCTGGCAAAGGGGAAAGAGGCTGGCGTGAGCTATTGCTGCCCTAAATGTGAAGTACTAGTTTTAACAGCTAATCACATAATTGTAGGATAAATATTTTTTTCTGGGTCCCGAAAAAGGTGATTCAAAATAGTCTTAAGTATTTAGATTTGCTTTGGGAACACGAGGATCCAAAAAGAACGTAACGTAAATGTCTCAGCCTCTCTACTTCCATGGGGAGCATGGGCAACTCAAATAAAATGACTCTTACCCCTGTAGTTATTAGACGTTCCTACTAATTGTTTGGGAAAACAAAACTGTCTCATATTTGTTCTTCTGGAAACAAAGAAATAGAACTCTAGCTCTTCAAACTGTTTGTGTAAATGGTCAAATTACTTTTTTGTCTTTTAAACGAACAGCCTTGTTGTCTGAGCTGAGAACTCATTACCAGACTTACCCTGCAGTATGTTTTCGTCTGCTGAATTAAAGCAAATCAGAACAAAACAACAACGAGAAAAGCTCAACATAACCTGCATGTGGGTTTTTAGCAGTAAGGAACTGCTGGTGACAGATGCTTAGCCATTGTCATGTGAACAACGTCACTGTAATAAACATAAACCAGAGTGACACTAGGGATGCTCCCGGAACTGACTGATCAGATTTTAAGGAGCGGCATTATACCTTAAGCAGCGTGACTGTTTAGGGAGTGTCTGTTCAGGATGTTGGAAAGCGTGTGCTGATGGCTGTGTGAGGTTATGAGGTCACTGAGGCTGCTCCCTCAGACCCAGCACCACATTCTCAGCCATCTTTCCATTTTAGTTAGGGTGTCTTTCTGTTGATGTCTTCTGTGCTGCCTAATTTTTAAATAATTTGTACTCTTTCTTTTAAATGAATCATTTTATGAGGGGGTGGGGGGGGGTATGGAGAACTTGCCTGCGAGGTTGAAACAAAACCTTGTAAAGGAGATTTAATCCCTTAGGAATGTGGGGATCTAGAATTAAACTGATTCATTTCTCATTAGGGTCTTGGGCCAATATTGGCAAGCAAATCACTGACTTTCACATGTATTTTATGGACTGTATGCAACTAATTAGCCTTACTTCTATTCCTTGTGTTTATAAGCTGTCTGAAAAAATCCAGGCACTGCTTATAGAAAGAACTTCATTACTTGAGATCTGCTTTGGTGCAGTTTTCTCTGTGTTTTTGAATTGAAGAAGGTATTAAGTGGAAGTCAGAGAGGAACCAATTAAACATAAGTCTAATCAGCCCCAACGTGTTGTGAAGGGTTGCTTGTTTGTTTTGTTTTGGAGTGGGGAAGGTTGTGTTTGTTCTTGGGGGGGCGGAGGGGTCTCTCTGCAGGGAGACGGATCATCTTAGAGTGTCAGTATTTTTCTTTCTTGTTTCTTTTAGGTTAATGTTTGAAATTTATTAATCATGTTGAGTAAAGTAGGTATCCTGCCCTAAGGGCTTCCCTGCCTAGTGGAAAAGCTCTGATTTATAAAGTCACAGCATAATGAAATAAAGTGATAATAAAAGCCTTGAGCAGTCTGTGTAATATATTTTAGGCTATTTACTAAGGTTAGTTTGTTTAATTATTATTATTATTATTTGTTGTTGTTGTTCATGTCAGAATTGTCATTTCTAATAGTAGGATCCCTCAAACTATTTAAACCAAATCTTGCTTGCTACTGTAGAAAATAGGCGCAGATTCCTTCTTAAAGTCCAAACCGTTCCTTTAAAGACTAACAGATATTTATTTGCCTTCTCTCCAGTTAGTGAAAGGTGGTAGTTAAATCAACTCTTACTAGTTCCTTCCTCTTTGCTTTTCAGCACCGCATTAAGTGGAAGTAGATTTGCATCCCTTTGGGTTTTGACCAAAGCACACACCCATCCCCTTCCTGCCTCTCTGGAACTGGTTCAAGATTTGGGGAGAAGGGTTTGTTGGGGGGGCGTTTCCTTGTCTTATCTCTGTGTGAGCATATGCTAGGGTTGCATTTATTTTGACCCTTCCACTTTAAATTTGGAACCGAAGCAAGAGTTTAAAGTACAACAGAAGAGAGTCTGCTGAACTTTAGCCATGAGGGACCCAGGGAGGAAGGTGCGTACATGCATTCTGAAACTCTCATAGAGGTTGGCCATCTTTATGCGTACACATAATTGTGAGCTGATAACTACTAGGCAAAGGGAAAATATTTAAAACTGTAAAGATATATGTGACCTCTATAGAATGTGTTTATGTGCTTAATTTTACAGCAGTGCCTCTAGTATTCATAATTTGGGGGAACATGTAAGTTCTGAATTTTTATTTGAAAACCTTTGGGAAAAGCTTAGGATGGGTATTTTCAAGGGAAAAATGTATCATTTGTGATTGATCTTTAAGGGAGTGTGTATAGATATTTTAGGCATTCTATCATTTTGCCTTCTAAAGCATTAAAAACAAGCTATACTAGGCTGGCCGAGTGGCTCAGTTGGTTAAGAGCTCGCTCAAGAGTGCAAGCTCTGAGCAACAGCAGTTCGATTCCTGGCCCGAGCTGAGCTGCTGCTGAGCTGCCAACAGGTGGAAGGATGGCTCAGCTTTAAAAAAAAACAAAAACGAGCTATAAATGGATATTATTAGATAAGGTCACCCAGCTACCCCTCAGAGTTAAGAAGCAAGTCTCTCGTCATTGATTATCACTTTGTATATATAGGCTGTACCGATTTCTTTCTTGACTGATCTTTTCCAGAGCCTGGCCCAGCTAGAGAATCTGTGCAAACAGCTCTATGAAACCACAGATACAACCACTCGACTCCAGGCAGAGAAAGCCTTGGTTGAATTCACCAACAGCCCTGATTGCCTGAGCAAGTGCCAGCTACTCCTCGAAAGAGGAAGTGTACGTAAGATTTGAAAAATCCTAAAGGATAACAGGGGTTTAAGAAAATATATTCTGGTTCTAAGTGTAGAGGTGGACTGGGACAGCTTCTGTTCCTTGATCCTTCTAGCTGCCTCTGCCTTCTTAATTTCACTTCTAAAAAGCACCATATCTGCCAGGTTGGCAAAAAACAAAGGCCATACAACCCTGTCAGGAAAATCTCATGGAACATATATTTTCATCCTGTCATTTTTCATCTTGAATCAAATTTCTGGGACTCCCTTTCTGTTGTTTACGCTTAAGTACTACCTCATATCCTTTACAAAGGAGATGGGGTTGTGTACATAAATGAACCTTTCTTATTCACAAAGCCCATGTCACCTTACAAGATCCCCAGTCCTCTCTGTTTTTCCTCCTTTGTACCATAGCTGCTTCTTACTGCCTTAGAAGTATAGGGGGGAAATAGTCTTGACGATGAAAATAACTGGAAGTTACAGTTTTAAAAAACAGAATTAGAGCCTCTTCAAGCTAAAGATGGCAATGCAGTGATCAAAGTAATGCCTTTAATGAGACATTTGATTGAATTAATATTTTTGGGAAGACGGAAGTCTTAGGAAGGGTGAGACTCCAACCAGGGTTCCATGAAAGGGCACTGAGAATGTCAGAATCCCAGCCGGACGAGCAGCTAGCGTGATACTTAAGGCTGACGGGAAACGAGAAAAGAATGAAAGCAACTGATTTGTTGAGAGGGTGGAATCCTAGATCATTTTTTACTTTTCATTAGTAGTGTTACAGTATTATGCACTAAATAGAACAAATTACAGTTGTCTAAAAACTATCCTTTAGTAGCTGGGGAAGCTAACTCCTCCAAGCATCTGAAGGTGGCAGAGTCGTGGTAGAGATTACCTAGTGCTCTGTTCTGTTTTCACATGTGGTATTTTGTGTCTTTGTTTCCAGTCACCCGAAATCATCCGATCTTAGGATTGATCCACTTAGATTTGTACTCTGGGAGATGCCCAGCTGGCTCCTGCCGGAGCCCCACGGCGTCACATCTGACTCGGTTAACTCCCAACCCTCATGCCGACAGTCTGCAGGCTAGAATCAGAGGATTGGTATAATTCTAAACACAATTATAGCGGATCTTTCTGTTTGATCTCTATTGACTTCTCAGTGACTTAGATTTATTGGAATTATGTGTAAAGACCGTTTACATGTTACATAGTTTGTAGTTATAGTTATACACTATATTCTATAATTACAGCAGCCCCTCTTGCATTAGGAGTGATTTGACACATGTGCTCTAATCGGCTTAAACCATGTTCAGGGGGATTGAAAAGAAATCACATGTCACAGTCACTTGTATAGATTTCTTTTCTGAACCTTAAATTTTTTTTTTATAACTGCTGGTATTATATAATGCCTGTGGATAGCCTCCTGTCTTAAGGACTTTTGGTTTCACAGAAAATTATCCTTGACCCTTGATTAAATTATTTTCATGGTTGTGCATCTGTCCCTCTTATATGACATATAATGTAGCCACATGGAGGAATTCGCACATGGCTCCCTCTTACACTTTATGATCACATAGATAATTCTGATTCTGCATAAGTTTAAAATTCATTAAAACCCATACTTGAGAATATGATAATGCTGTTCCATTGCTATGGGCACAATTTTTCTTTCTCATAAATAATTGTAATTAATTTACTTTAAAACTAGCATATACATTCCTCAAAGCTGTAGCTGATTGATAGCTGTGCTGATGAAAATATATAACTTGGGGATTAACTGTACAGCATAATGTGAGGGTTCCTTCTAATACTCTTTTTCCCCCCTTTCTAATATACTATAGGAATATTTTGAGGTGACTTTGGGAATATTTTGAAGTAAAACTTTTTGAAACATTACTATAACAAGGCTATTGATGGGAGATTTCTTGGTTTAAATGAAAGAAGAGATTTGTCTTCTAAAGATCTTAGTATCTCCCCAAAAGCTCCCCTCTCGCACCTGCCCCCTTGAAGTGACGCAGATATCTGTATTGGAATCAGTTTGATCCAGCCATTCACTTTCTCCTGCCCCTTGTTCATGATTGAAATCAGCCCCGTGAGCACATATGCTGCATGGGCCTCTTTTCCTTACAATGATAGACCCTCTGAAATCCAGAGGATCAAATATAACAAAACTAATTTTTCTTGAATCTGAACACAGATCTCCAAATAAAACACCTTACGACTAACTCAGTAAAATTGAATTCTAAGTCCTTTCCCCCCACCTCTTTTCACAGTCATCGTACTCCCAGTTACTGGCAGCTACATGCCTTACAAAGCTTGTATCACGCACAAACAACCCTCTACCATTGGAACAACGAATAGATATCCGTAAGTAGAGAATTATCTGTTCTCTCTTAAAGAAGTTAGTTTGTTTAGTGATGTGCTTAGTGATAGTTAAATTTATGTTGCTTATTTGATAATGTTCTGAAATTGCTAAGCATACAGAAGATATGGAATCCAGTTTTTCCCAGAATTTTGGGCTTAATAAAGTGAAGTGGGCCCACAGTAATTACTTCTAGATAAAGCCTAAGTGACCTCTTTTGTTGTCAGAAGGTTTCTTTCATTCAGTCTTTACTGCCACTGATGACTACGGCAACCATTGTTAAGGGTATGGAATTCTGTGCAGACAGGTTTAACCATCTAGGAGCAGATTCAAGGCTGCCATACTTCAGATTCTTTGTTGTGACAAGTATAAAATTCTCAGTCGGAAAGCCTACTGATCTCTGATTCAAAGCCCCATTTCTCAGTAGCATGAAGAATTAAGGGAGCTTAGGGTTAATAGTGTAACTTTACCATTTCTTGGACAATTTAGTACATTCAAAGATGTACACCCTTCCCTGGCAGAACGTTCTGTTATGCAGATTGCTTTTGTTTTATAGGGAACTATGTGCTCAACTACCTTGCCACTCGGCCAAAGTTGGCTACTTTCGTGACACAAGCACTAATTCAGTTATATGCCAGGATCACAAAACTGGGCTGGTTTGACTGTCAGAAGGATGACTATGTCTTCAGAAATGCAATCACAGATGTCACAAGGTTTTTACAGGTATGTATGTATTTGGTGTAATAGGAATGGGAGAAGCAACCTGTATTTACTTACTTATATGCTGGTCTACTTTCTAAAAGTTACACAAAATAGAATTATTTGATACATTCACTTTTGTGTCTTTTTTACCCTTAATATGTCTTGGCTTTGCATGTTTACTTGTCAGCACAGACAAACCCTACTTCATTCTTTCTAATGCCTATACACTATTCGAATCTAAAATACCATAACTTAACTAACTAATCTCCTATGGGTGAGCATTTAGTTTGTTTCTATATTTTGACTGTTAAATACTTCGGTGAATATCCGTGTGTGTGTGTGTGTGTGTGTGTGTGTGTGTGTGTGTGTGTGTCTGTCTGTCTGTCTGTCTGTCTGGTCATACTTTGAATAGTGTGTTCGTAGGGATTATTGGAATTATTCAAAGGGATATGTGTATTTTGGCTTTCAAAGGTATTTCCAAATCACCCTCAAAAAAAGTTGCTTCCTCCAACAATTAAAAGAGTGCCTGTTTCCCTATGCCTTCACCCTGGGAGCTCAACTTTTTTATTTTTCCAGTTTAATAGGTAAAAAAAAAATTGGTATCTTATCGTTTGAGTTATGAATAAGACAAAACAAATTTTCATGTTAGTTTACTACTTAATTTTTGTTTTTCAGTGAGCTTCCTATTTATATCTTAAGTATATTTTTTAGCAGGTTCTTTGCCCTTTTCTTGTTGTATACAGTTTCTTTGTAAATTGCGTTACACATTCATTTGTCACTTACCTTAAATGTGTTTTGCCACTTTCTCCTTTTATAATGTGTATGGTATAATGTTTATGGGTATTTTTAAAATACTAAAGGTTTCCACTTTAACAAAGTCAAATTTAGCAGTCTTCCTTTATGGCAGTTAAGTTTTATGTCCTGCAAAGTAGCAGTTTTAAACTACAATTCCTTGCTACCTTGTCTTGGCAGTTTTAATAGCAACACATGATTCTGTCATTTCAAAAGTATGACTGCGTTCCCAATGCTGAAATCAAGCTGTACACACCCCTCTTTCTGCCTTATATTTTTTTTACCAGGATAGTGTTGAATACTGCATCATTGGCGTCACAATTTTATCTCAGCTAACCAATGAAATTAATCAAGTAAGTGCTACAGCCTTCCTCATTGAAGTAAGTGCCATATTTTTTCTTAGTATTGGTGTTTTCTGCTCTGTGTGGGATGATCTTTTTTGGCAGTTGTGTGCTTTTGCGGTAAGTGATTAATGCCCTTTTGAAACAAAATAGTTCCGTTGGGTTTTCCTCTGTAAGTACAGCCTATCTCACTCTTTTTCTCTTGGTCCCCCTCTGTCTCCAGAATATTTTACCCTCCCATCTCAGCTTTCCTCACTGGTATTAATGTTCATTATTAGAAATGAGAGCAGTGGCTCTAAGTCAAAACTTCAATGAAATAATTGCTTTGCTAATAAAAAAGAAGGAATCCAAAACAAGGATCACAAAAGTGGAGCCAGCATCATTGTGTGCCCTTTCTGCTGTATACATTAGTGTTTATAACCATTTAAAAATCAGTTTCCATATCCTGTTATTAAAGATTTTGCTTAGAATCTCTTCAGAATGCATAAAACATGCGGCTAAATACCAAATAATTTTTTGTAAATAGTCATTGATGATACAGATCACTACAGAGGAAACACCAGTGGCTTTCTTCTGCTCTGGCTATTATTTTTTCAGCCATTTACTTTTATATCCAGATAAAATTTTATAATTATTGAACAGGCCAATATGTTAGTTGTAACATCTCACCTTTCATTTGTCAGCTAATAATTACATTGGCATCACTGTTGCTATTGCTTATATTTATGCAGACATTTTTATTAACCCTTAGAAATTTTAACTGAATCAGTACTGTTTTAAATGCACTTGCTTATAGCCTGTTAAAATCTGGAGTCCATGCTGTGTTCTGTCACATGTGATCCCCATTGTGGCTGGTAATTATCAAAATAATAGCATTCACTTTCGAGTGATTACTATGTGACAGGCACTGTTCTAAGCACTTTACTTGAATTAACTAATTTTATTCTCACAATAGTCTTAGATAGGTACTGTGGTTATCCCATTTTCTACATAAGGAAACTGAGGCACATAAAGGTTAAGTAATGTGTCTAAGGTGTCACAGTTAGCAAGCAACAGTATCTGAATTCGAACCTACATAGTCTTAGTCCAGAGCCTGTGCTCTTAATAACTTCTTATTTCACTACTGTTCCCCTTGTAGTAGGAAAGCATGTGTTAACTAAGCTCAGAGATTGTGGGGTTCATGTTCTCCCCTTTGAAGCTTGGCCCCACAAAATACATCAATGTTGATATAAAAAAAAAACTTCAAAATTGTACTTGTCTTTATTAAGACAACAATAGAAATGTGTGTGACATACTTAACATGTAATTATTCCCTGTATTATGATCAGCATAACACTTTATATGTGATATATGATATAAAATCTAGCAATACCTGATTTATCTAAGATTTTTATGATAACACAGTAGCACTGAAGCTAGAATTGAAGAATATTTTGAACTTCTGTGTAACTTAATTTTCTGGAGTTTGCGGGGGAGGGTGTCAGATTTAAATTAGAAAGTTAATTTCTGTTACCATTCCTATTTGAACTTTGAAATAAAATCAAGGAGAGTCCATAATTCGGTTGTCAGAAATCTTGCTGCATTCTTCAGTGTACCAGAAGCAAAATGAGCTCCCTCTTGGGTGACTTGGTCAGCATGTAAAAGAGATTTAAGCTTTCAGTTGAACTAAAAATAATCTTGGCAACCTTGAAATTCCTCTATTCCACTTACTGAGTGCCTACTATGTGTCAGGAGTAGAGGACATGGCTGAAGAAGTAAAAGATTTAGTCCTTAACCACAAAAACCTTTCAAATGTGGCTGAAAAGACAAGAAGAGAAACTGACCAGTCCAACCATTTAATTGAAGTGTTCACTTCTGTGGTATAAACTCCATGTGGAAATAGGTTAAAGAAGGAAGAGAGTATTACAGACTGTCGTCATTTATCTTAAGTTCGTGGCTATTGGTTAATGACTGTTTTAGAAATTATGTAGTAGCCCTGAGTGGATTGTTTATCACAACCCAAGTCTTGCTACTGTCTCTTCTTGAAACTAAGCCGCAATGCAACAATATAGTAATTATTAGCAATATCTGCCAACAATTTTATGTATAGCAAATTAAAACTTTGCAGTGGAGGTATTCCCATCCCTTCTTCTGTCTTCCCTCTCTAAGCTCTAGAGTCGTGATACCCTGGCTAGCTGTTAGCAGCTTCTTGTCCTTTGCATCCTCTCACTTTATATGATTTAACAGTAGTTTAAACATTAAAAATGTGTTTTGTATTTATGTTGCTTTTATTGGAAACCTTTCCAGTTTATTTGAAGTCTGCATGGAAATATTTTTTTTCTTTGAAGTTAATTCGAAAACTTGCATTGGTTTATTTTTCTGCACAGGCAGACACCACCCATCCTTTAACCAAGCACAGAAAAATAGCCTCTTCTTTCCGAGATTCGTCATTATTTGATATTTTCACACTTTCCTGCAATTTACTAAAACAGGTGAGATTGCAGGCTGGGCCCTGCTTCACAATTCCTTTTGAAAGGATGAGAATGAGTGGACGCTTGTTAGAGGTCAGCTCTTAACGGACCCCACGAACATTTATGCGTCTCCTTAATCATCATCTCTTACATAATACCTGTCTTCAAAATGTTGAAGAAACTTACCAGACTGACCACTGATGTTAGAGAAAGGATTGTGGTTTCCCTAGTTCAGATCTGCTCCCCTAGATAAGAACAGTCAGCAAATCCTTACCCATGTTCCTATCTTAAAGGAATCTAGTGTACCACAAAGTTTGAGATTTTGTTGTTTGCTCTTTTTAGACCCACATAAAACCTTCCTGTACGGAGTAAGAGCCTGTTAGCTTTATGGCGTTTGGATTCGTAGTGCTCGGAAAGCAGGCTCAGCCGACACTGTTAGCACACTAAAACTAGGCTGGCTCCCCTGCCCCCTGCTGAGCTAAAAGCAACAAATAGACAAGCAACATCTGTAAGGAAAAGCAGAATTTGAATTTTTAACATCGTTTGGATTTCATAACCTGAAGGGATAGACAGTATCACATAAGGAAATTACCTGTTTTAAAATAGAAAAGTTGGTATTGCGATTCATTTATTGATAGAGTTGAACTAAGAAAGAACTGTGAACCTTTGCGGCCTACACATGTGTAATGATGCTGGGCTGCTTTGTCCCTATAGACAGCTAAAGGGAACTGGCCTCTGGTTCTTGGTTCATTTGGGGGACTTCAGGATTTTTTTGTTTTTGTTCTCATTTTCCAGTAGGTCCCAGGTTTAGTTTTAGAAACAAGTTTGCATTTGTTCTGTCTCTCCACTTAAAAATGTCCATCTTTTTTCCTCAATTACTTAGCTTTATCTCAGAATTCCCAGACAGTCCTCAGGTTGGGCAAGCTGCCTGGAAAAAGCTATTTTACCCCCTGGAGGGGAAAAGCTTTTGAGAAAACTAAGGATTGAATCATCTCACTGATACTATCAGAAACCATCAAGTCACTGAGGTCGAAGCTGGTATGAACTTTGAGAGTCCCTGTAGCTATGGGCCAGTATTGAGCAATAGGCAGGTAAACTGCCAGTGAATAAACAAAATTCAGTGGTGATTTTTTTTTTTAAGATATTTTTATTGGGGATTTGGGGGCGGGAAACAGTGTTGGGGAATTGGGGAAGGGGACCAGCCAAGTTGTTGTTCTTCAATCTTCGTTGTGGAGGGCGCCATTCGCCATCTGGCTTCCCGTCGGCAGCTCGTGGCCTCTAAGCTCAAGGTGCTGTGTTCAATCATAGTTGCGGGTGGGCGTAGCCACCATCCCATGTGGGAGTCGAACCAGCAGCCTTGTTGTTAAGAGCGCACGCTCTAACCACTGAACCATCCGGGCGGCAGCTCCACTCAAGGTGCTGAGTACAGTCTTAGTTGCAGGTGGGCATAGGCTGCAGCGTCACTGTCCCATGTGGGAATCAAACTGGCGGCCCTATTGCTCAGAGCTCGCGCTCTTAAGCCAACTCTTAACCAGCTGAGCCACTCGGCTGGCCCTCAGTGTGATTTTGTTTTAATTTTGGTTTGCAAGATTTTTGTTGATGCTGGTGATGGTAATGTTAAAAAAGAGGAAGGGAGATAGTCAGGATATAAAACTTACTAGAACTCCCTCCCAGAATTTAATGTTAGCCCTGTCTAGAAATAGCTAGGATCTCACATGCAATGAAATAACCACACATATTGCTTCAGGATTCCCCGTGGCTATGTAAAGAACCAGTGTCAATAGGGGGATTTCTTTAAATACCAACTTCATGTTTTGTGGGAAACATGTTATAATAGTAAGTAAGATGCTAGGATTTTCAGAGTGAAATTAAGGCAGCATCTCGCAGTGGGGCAAACGTCACTTCGCTGTGTTGAAATACAGCCCTCCTTTTCTGGCTCTACATACAGCCTGCTCTTGAGTTGGTAGCAAGCTTGGAAGAGAGGAGTGATTGTTTGGGGCTCATGATGTGGTAATTTTTACAGGCTTCAGGAAAGAATCTAAACTTGAATGATGAAAGTCAGCACGGTTTGCTCATGCAACTGCTCAAACTCACTCATAACTGCCTGAACTTTGATTTCATCGGCACTTCTACTGACGAGTCCTCAGATGACCTGTGCACAGTACAGATTCCCACCAGCTGGAGATCAGGTACAGCATCGCACCACCTGAAATAGGCTGCTGCTCACCTCTCCGTAGTGTCTGTAGTATGATGATCTAAAGGACCCCTGGCAGTCCCTTACTTGCTGTAAGAGAACACTTGGAATTGCAGCATCTGTCTTTCTGAAGTGAGGGAGAGGTTCTGGGAAGATCTTACAGATCCTCCAGCCTGGGAGAGCTCTTAATTACTGACCCATGTGACTTTGACCTTCTGGTGTTAACCACCTAGAGACTTCTGTTATCTTACTCATTTGCGGTAATGTCTAGGTTTTAAAACAAAACCAAACAAAAGAACATGTGCTTATGTTTGTTTTTGCATTCCTACGGATAAAAATTCTTGCTATGAACAGAGCCCTGATTGTCTTAAGTTCTCTGAGAATCAGTACAATGAATCTGTTTCTTAGAGGAGCTAAACACTAGTGCTTAAAAAAAGGGGGGGGGGACCAAAACAAATCCCTATTATCTTATCACTTCCAAAGGAAATAAGCTTTCTGTAAGATAAGAAAGCAGAAAGAAGCAGAAAAATATGCTCTCTAAAGGACAGTGCCAGCAGTCTGCCCATAGCAGGGTGCAAACATACTCAATAAAGTGCTCTTTGGTCTTTCTTCCAGCATTCTTAGATTCTTCAACTCTGCAGCTGTTTTTTGACCTGTATCATTCCATCCCTCCTTCATTTTCACCTCTGGTGAGTCAGTTTCTAAAGCAAACCTATTTTTGGGAAGTGGCACTGGTGAAATGAGTCTTATGTTCATTTTGTTGTACAGAATCATAGAAGTAAAGCATAGAAGCACTAGGGTTAGTTATCTAGCCTCTTGAGATTAGGATTCTAGCTTAAAAATTTCCTGATAAAGTCTTAATTCTTTTCAAATGATTCCTCTCTAATGACAAATTGCTGCAGATGTCAGTCTCTTTTGGTGTTATCTTGACTTTATACTATACTATACCTCAGATTGCCACAGGCTAGAGTAGGGGATTCACCTTATATTGTCTAGTTGAAGATTGTCCTGACTAAATTTGGAAATCCCTCAGGCATATTATATAAGTGATAAATGGAAGCTGTAATGCCAAGGCAAATTTGCATACTTACTCCTAAATAACATTAGAAAGCTCTTAGAAATGATTCAAGAGCATTTCTCCTTTAAAGCAAGAATTAACTTCCTCAAATCTCAAAATTCATTCAGATCCTAAAAGACTTGGTCTGGTATTTCAGATTGTCGGTGTAAAATACTGTTTACAAACTATACAAAGAAAAAACAGTAAAGTAATGGATGTTTTGCATAGTGTGTCTGCAGTGAACTATTTTCCTGGTCATTGTAGTACTTTTTCAAATTAGCATAGACCTTCGCTTTAGCAGAAACAGGAATTCAGTATTGTTTGTATCAAGTTTACTGTAGGAAAAGGTAATGTGCTCAAGAAGGTAATGAATAAAAAGACTGTTTATAAAGGTGTGGACACAATTCAGGGACTCCAACAAGAGGTGGTGGCTACATCCCTTGGACTAGTAATTGTGGGAGCTTCAAGGGGCGAGGGAGGGAGCCCTGGAGAGAGCTGAAGCTGTGGGTGGCACCTCTCTCCTGCCCTGATCTGCTGCTGGTACTTTCCAATGGATGAAGCCAACTAGAAGCAAGAGGGCAAGGGAGCTTGGCTGTTGTTAGTCAGCAGAGGTCAGCCTCCCAGGGAACAGAGCAGGGTGGAGAAGGGTAGAAAATAGACCTGGTATGGGGCAAAGAAGAGAAATATCTAGCACAGTGGGGAAAGGGTAAAATGTTTTCAGCATAAAAGCTGTTTTTTTCATGGCACAGATCTGACTTGGTTATTTCATTGTAGCACTACATAGCAAAGTCTGATTAGCCAAAAGGCCTTAAAAGAACAAAACAAAAAAACCTAAATCTAAAGCTGTATTTAAACTATGAATTGCTTGGTATGTTCAAGCCTTAAATATGTATCTTAACAAGAATCAAAGAAGCCAGTTGGGGTGGTCAAAGAATAATACCTAAGTGAATTTCCAAGTATGAATTTAGTTATTAGGACCAACTTGGATGTCATGCTCTTTTTTTCTTTGAGTAAAGCTGTTTCAGATATCCTAAGCTATGCCCTCCTTGACCTTCCTATATCACTGAAATGGTAGCAGAGGTTGAAAGACCAGAATTAATGGCTTATGTAAAGAAGAACATTATAGGAGGGGAAAGGATCATGAAAATAGCTGTACAGTCTTTTTTAAAATCAGTTGTGTTTGGGTTGTGCCCTGTTTTTAGGTATTATCCTGCTTAGTACAGATCGCCTCAGTTAGAAGATCCCTGTTTAACAATGCAGAGAGGGCCAAGTTTCTCTCTCATCTTGTCGATGGTGTTAAACGAATACTGGAAAATCCACAGGTAAGATTTCAGGATTTGTTTTTATTTGAATATATACATATATACGATACATATGATTTTGTGTATCTGTGCATGCACGCACCTGTTATGAGTCAGAAGGAAATCTATCTAGAGGCCACACTTAGCAGAAATCCCAGAAAACAGCTCAGCCTGTCATTTTTCAAATGATTGAAGTGACTCTGTATCTGTAGAAAATGCTTGAGAACATTTACCCAAAAAAGGAGTTTGTCTCTTCTAACTTCAGGAACTCAGGAGTTGTGGAAAGGATCACTTTGTACAGGAAAATAAAGATGGAGCTGTGGTCATTTTTCCCTAAGAAGTTAAGAATTTAAATTTTTTTGTTTGTTTGTTTCCATTTTTTTTAAATGTAGATTATTGACCTAAGTATATAGGGCTGCTTATAGGTGGGAAGGGAGCGATTTCTCATTCGAATATTTGTTCCGTGGCTCAGTTGCCCTTTTTATCTTTTTCAGTCTCAGTCACTAAACATCTTTTTTTTTTTTTTAAAGCTCACTTCACTACACTAGAAAATATTTGTAAAGTCAGTTCATTTTAAAATATACTCAGTTCTGGGCCGGCTGAGTGGCTCAGTTGGTTAAGAGCTCGCTCAAGAGTTTGAGCTCTGAGCAACAGCGGTTCGATGCCGGGCCTGAGCTGAGCTGCCGCTAAGCTGCCAATAGGTGGCAGGATGGCTCAGCTAAAAAATAAAAAATAAAATAAAATATACTCAGTTCTGTCCCTTTTTTAAAAAATACATTTATTCATTCAACAAATTTTACGAAACATCTACCATGTGCTAAGGATATGATAGTGAACAAAACAAAATGCCCTCCTATGCTAACAGAGGAAGACATAGATAAGGAAACAAATATACTGACATACTATGCAGACAAATCAAGTTTGATATAAGTAGATGGTAAAATATATAAACATATAGGGAGAGAGAAATTTATAACAACAACAATATAAATATATAAAACATTCACGTAACTTTGCTGGTGTAGTTTAGTTGTGCCTAATGATAAGTTTGACAGATGTGGAAATGAAAATTTAATTATCTTTTCTTTAACTGGTGGGAAGCAAACAGACTGGCCATGTCTTAGATGATGCCCCTTTTCTGCCATTAATCAGCTTTACTACCTTAGGAATATATTGTGTGCTCTGGGCTTCCATTTCAGACTCCTTCAATTGAGGCTAGTCATCCCCATCTCAAAGGATGATTATTATGAACAGATGAGATAACAGATGTGACCATCCTTTTTAAAAAACTGTTTTTAAACATTATACAGATGTGTCATCCTGAGTGATGGTCCTCATCTTAGAAGTTAAAGTAGATTTCCCCCTCCCTTCGTGCCATCCCAAATGTCATTCGGGAGTATAGTGAAATCACATTTCCTGTTTTATTTTCCTCCTGTGCTGTCACCAGAGTTTATCAGACCCAAACAATTACCATGAGTTTTGCAGACTACTGGCCCGACTGAAGAGTAACTATCAGCTGGGAGAATTAGTAAAGGTGGAAAACTACCCAGACGTCATCCGATTGATAGCTAACTTCACAGTGACCAGCCTACAGGTTTGTCTTGGATTGCTTGGCTCTTCCTTCCTAAACATTGGAGTCTCTTCTCTTGCTCATTGGTTTTTACCTTATAAGAATATTCTTTTTCTTTTCTTGGCAGAGGTGACTATAAGCACCTATAGGGTGACCCTGCAGAGTAGCTTCTGTTGTAGCCTACTCATGTGTTCATGTGTGTTACAGAAGTGCAAGGAGTACTGTGAGAGGATCATAGGGGAATTGTAAGGATAATATTTAGATTCAAGGTAGAGAGAATCCCCTCAGAATCACCCTCCCAAAAAGGCAAGAGTGGAACAGGGAACTAGACAGAAGAGTAAGGAGAGAGTTAGTAATCTCTCTTTCCTAGTCATGTAATATAGGGATGTGGTTCTCAAATTTTATGGCTTGCATCAAAATTCTCTGGGGAGCTTGATGAAAAAGGTGCTTGGGTCTTACCCCCCATAAACTCTGGTTCACTGGGTGTAGGGTGGAGCCCTGGCGTCGGTGTCTAAAGAATTCTTGAGGTGATGCTAACGCATGCTACTGTTTGAGAACCACTTACACAAGGTTTTCCTTGTGGTGAAGTTCACTCATCCAGCATAGGACAGCTCTTACTAGATGCTTCATCTCTGAAATACTAATGAACACTTTAGATTAGTTGCCATACACAAAACAAAGCCCATAAAAGTTTATCATCTTTTTTTAAGTCTTTATCCTTTGTGTCAAGTGGAATGAGACTAGTGTATTGTGTACAAAAATGAGAACTATGCCTTCTGCTCTTTTGGTTTTCCTCAGCACTGGGAATTTGCCCCAAATAGTGTGCACTATCTCCTAAGCCTATGGCAGCGGCTGGCAGCCTCTGTGCCATATGTGAAAGCCACAGAGCCCCATATGCTGGAAACTTATACTCCTGAAGTCACCAAAGCCTACATCACATCCCGTTTGGAATCTGTGCACATCATACTGAGGTAAGGACACTGGGACAGCCTCCCTCATTTCCCCACCGGTAGCTTGGTGTCAGACTTGCCAGAGATCAGACACCCAGTTGGCAAAAATGTACTTGATAGGAGTCTTATTGGAGCTAATACTGTGAATGATCATTTTTTTCATAGCAGCAGAATAGCATAAAGCCTGAAAAAGTAGTCTTTCTCTTTAACATCCTATTCGTGCCCCCCTCTTATCGTTATCGGTAACAGATCTTTGAATAAAAAGTATATCGGTATAATGTTTGTCCGTCCTACTGATTTTCTTCAAATAAGAGAGAAACATTTATAGGCTCGGGGTTATAAGAATTATAATGTGTAAGTTTGTGGTGCTTAATGTGAACTTCTAAAATAGTAAGTAGATAAATAAGATTGCAAAATCCAGAGCTTGCTAGAAGATACAAGCATTCTAGGCAGCTGATTGCATTACATTAACACATGGCTTCTGTGTACTTGAATATTAACTGGACCAGAATCCTGTAGATAAAGAAATGTCAGGCCCTTTCAAAAGTGACCTCTGTAATGTGAATTTATTTTTTGTTTAGGGACCTTTCTTATTTGTGGGGTTTTGTTTATTTTTATTTTTTGGCTTAAACAACAGACATTTATTTTCTCCCAGTTTGAGTCTGAGATCAAGGTGCCAACAGGGCTGGTTTCTGGTAAGGCCTGTCTCCTTGGCTTGCAAATGGCCACCCTCATTGTGTCCTCACATGGCCTTTTCTCTGTGTGTGCGCACAGAGAGCTATATCTCTTTTGTTTCTTCTCCTCAGAAGGACACCAGTCCTATTGGATTAGGGTCCCACGCATAAGAACCTCATTTAACCTTTTTCTTTAATTGAGGTATAATTGACATATAACATTATATTAGTTTCAGATGCACAACATAGTGATTCAATATCTGTATATATTGCGAGAGAATCACAATAAGTCTGGTTAACATTCATTACCATATATAGTTACAATTTTTTTTTCTTGTGATGAGAACTTTTAAGAATACTCTTGTATATTTTTTCATTGGCTGATTTTCAGGGGAATTTACTTGGACTCTGGAGGTCAGGGTGTTTTTAGAGTTGGATTCCTAATTTGCTCAGAGTCAAGTGCATTTAATTGTCATAAGAGATATAGTCTGTCTGTGACTTGAATCATTTGAAAATCTGAGTCTTTGTGAGGTCCGCTAGAAGGCATTGTTTTATTAGTTGCATAGTTTCAGTTCCTGAGGATTCAGCTGGTTTCAGTGAGACCATGTTGGGGAGTGGTTACATGTGTGGGCTCTCAGCCCAGAGGTCCAGTTAATAGCTGTGTACTCTTGAGCAAAGTTTTTATAGTGATTAAATTACTATGTCCTGGCCCAGCGTGTAGACCATGGTGAACACCGAACTATGAACTCTGGTTGTATTGGTGGTGCTGGTGGTGCTGCTGCTGCTGGATTGTCACACTGTGATGTAACACTAGAGAGCTTGTAATAGGACAAGATTTTGAAATCTAGGAACCAGTAGATAGGACAAGACCTGGAATAGATCCACAGTGCCTCATCTGTAATTCTGAAATCCAAGATGTGAAAACTAAATTTTCTCATATTTGGCACCAAAACTCATTTGGTGGCAAAAATTGTCAGGTGCTGGTATTTATAGTCTTTAAAAACGTCTACTTAGTTTGACCATTCATAATATTTGTACATTTTGCTATAGGAATGTTGTATTTGACACACCACAGAGCCCACTGAGGGGTCATATTACATAGCAGAAGCATCCTGTTGCCTCCCTAAAACCTGAAGACTTATGAATTCCAAAACACAGTGGCCTCACTTGAGGGACAGGACACTTGTCGTCCCAAAGTTTACTATAGTTGAGAACAAGTGACAAGCTACGAGCCCAGAGCTCCTAGGGGTGAGAAGCATACGAATGAGGGGATCAAGGCAGACAGATGTTAAGGACTGGAAATTCAGATTGAAAGATTGACACCAAAAAGCGGAATATCCCTATGGGAGACTGATGCCAGGGTGAAGACATCTAGCTGCCGTCCAACTTTTTTGATATCTCTTCCTTGGCTTAAAGTCGTGTTGGGATGGGGGCCTCTACTCTTGGAAATAGTGGCTAAATGAAGAAGAAAGAGCGCTGCTGCGATGGTGGGATCCATAGGTGTGTTTCAAGAGCCCTGCCTCCTTTTTTCCTTTGGGAGCAGAGATGGACTGGAAGATCCTCTGGAGGATACAGGCCTGGTCCAGCAGCAGTTGGACCAGCTGTCTACAATTGGGCGTTGTGAGTACGAGAAGACGTGTGCGCTCCTCGTGCAGTTGTTTGACCAGTCGGCCCAGTCCTATCAGGAGCTGCTGCAGAGTGCCAGCGCAAGCCCAATGGACATCGCTGTGCAGGAGGGTGAGTGGACAGTGAACCGGGCCCGTAGGGAGGTGCTGTCAGCACCCTTTCTTTCATTGCCACCTCTTTCCTACCTTCCCGCAAGAAGGATTCTTGCATCATCAATTACCTCCATATACACAAAAGAATATTTGTTATATGCCATAGGGGACTAGGGAAGAGTAATTAAAATTCTGTCTGCAATGGGTGTGTTTACCTTTAAGAATGGACTGCACTCTAAAAAGAATGACCTTGTCTGATAGGGGAATGTTGGTTATCTAATGAATTCCCCCTTGGCATCACCCTTACCAGAGCAGGGTAGTAGCTATACTCCATAAGAGAAGGAAGACTTTATGGCTTTTTCTCCATGGTGGTGTTAAAATTAAGGAAGCTCTATAAGAAATGAACCTCACAGTGAGGGATTTCTTCATGAAATTATCACTGGAGGGGACACTAATGGGTCTTCCTCCTGTCTGTTGCAGGAAGGCTGACATGGCTGGTTTACATCATTGGTGCAGTGATTGGTGGCCGGGTCTCTTTTGCCAGCACTGATGAGCAAGATGCTATGGATGGCGAGCTTGTCTGTCGGTAAGTGCCCCCTCCCCAGAGGCTTCCATTTCACTGCTAAGACCCGACCCCCCTCACCCTCTTCTGGGTTCTGAGACCACAGGAGCTGGACATCCTTCTGTTGTTGCTTTCCTCCCCACTTAGGGAATATAATCTCATGAAGCTGATTGCCCATGAAAATGAAGGACCGTTAAAGGTCCACCTTCAAAACCTTTTAAAAGTACAGCAAGAGCTCTGCCTACAGTCCTTACTAAGACAACATTTGCAGTAACTCATCAAGGAATTGATGGTTACAGAATTGGGAAAAGCAGAGTGGGTAGTAGCTTTTAGTTCTGTTTAAGGACAGTACCTCAGAGTGAATGAAATCTGGATGGCTTTTGCCATATCAGAATAAGTCTAATCGGAAACTATGGTTCTTTGAAATCCCTAAGATAGAATTACAGTTTCATCGGCCTTTCAAATCTCTTGACCATACACTTTCCACCTACAGGATTTCAAGTTCTTTTTATCTGTGTGGTTCTCATCTTACTAAAAACCTATAAAGGCGCATTTAGTGATTTCTAAAAATTTACCAAACACAGAAATAAAAGGGTGTGATTTTTTTAATATCCTGTGGCAGATTTTCTCAAACCTTTTCACCAGGACTGTTTTCACCTCTTAAAAGTATTGAGGACCTCAAAGAGCCTCTGTTTAATGTGAGATACATCTGTCAATGTTTATCGTATACTAGAAAATAAAACA